TCCAAAATAACAGAAAAAAACAAAAAACACCAGTAGCCAGAACCAAACGCAATAGAAAAGAAGTAAACAATAACAACAGCACAGCAACGAATAACAAAATATCATCCACCATTGTTCTCTTTACCAGTTGAACCGGTTCCCCTTTGACAAACACGTGTGTGTGTGCATGCGTGTGGTTCTGCAGCAAGTGAGCACTTTCTTTCATGAGATAGAAAGAGAAAGCAGAGTGTATGACAGTTGCCGAGGAAAAACGAAATAGCAACAAATAAATGCATTTCAGCCTTTTACCAACTTCATCCAAATTCCAACTGCATTTTCCATCCGCCCTGTAGGAAACGGCAAGTACTGCTGTTTTTAAACTGCATAGGTTGGATAAATGGGGGTAACGGATAATATCTAATAATAAAACAAAAACAAAAAACGTGTTTTGTAATTTTTTTTGGAAAAATAAAAAAAAAACAGGTTTTTTTTTGAAGATGCAATTAGTTCAATAAATTTAAATTAATAAAAATTGTTAGTTAACCCTAAAACTAAGGTACATTTACAGAATTAATGTAGATTAATAATTAGTGATTCACGATTTTTGGATACCATTGAAAACATATACGATCTTTAAGGGGATATCCGAAAAAAATAGTCTGGCGGTGAAAGGGATTTTCCTGTTTAAAATTACCTCAAACCCCAAACAATTATTAATTCAATCGATGTATACAGGTAATGAACGAAGGATTGGTCTATTTATTGGTTTTTGACAGCAGATGGCTTCCCAAAATAGGTATTTTTGTGAAAATATTTTCACTTTATAATATAATGTTACTCTAATTAAAATGATTTACGGTTTTCAAAATATCAATTTTCAAGTTGATCCGAGTAATAGTTTCGGCGATACAGCCTTGAGTGTTTATGCGCTCGAGGCTCGCCAGAATGCACCTTCTTTAAAACAATTTTTCTCGGTACTACTCAACCGATTTTTATAAAATTTTACATAGTTCTTTGAGATACCTTTAAATATTTGTTAACAGCTGCTCTTTTTCTCCCTTTTTCCACGCGTATAATTAGCATTTACAAACTTGGAAAGTTCTACTTTTAAGAACAGCTTCTTATTGGAATTTGCCATCAATTTGCTTGGAGCCGTAGTTTTATGGAGTGATATTTGCTCCTATAATACAGCTATTGAGATTAACACTTCAAAGAACTTTTGTTTTGAGATAAATTTTTTTGGTGGTGGTGGGGTTATAGCTGGTGAAGAAATGGCAAAAATTCAAACACTTTTCCTGAAGTTTCTTGCAAAAAATTCTATTATAAAACTCAATATCACCACGATTTTCACACAGGGTGTGCGAATATTCCGCAAATGTGTGTGTGTGTGTGTGCTCATGTCAGCCTCTACTGACTCTTGACAATTGCAGCCAGCATGCGTTGTTGTTTCACATGATCGACGCGCATATGTATCGCATGCATTTCGTTAGCCGCTACAAGGCTACAAGGCTACAACAAAACATCAACTCTCCAAACCACCAACCACCCCCCAAGTGTCTCCAAAATGTTTTCATTTTGTCTCCACATCTTATACTCCACAAGCGAGTTTGCCATTGCCATGCATGTAGTATCCGTTAACCCTGTTACCATTGTCGTCGTCGTCGTGAGATGTTGTCGCAAGCGCTGTGAGCAGCATTTTCTTTGTTTGACACACGCTGGCTGGCAGCCCGTTGGCCGTCGCAAAACTTAAGCTTTTATCGCGTTATTTGTTTGGCACTTGTGCGTTCGGGCGTCGTCATAGACGCCACAGCGGGTGTCATAGTGATGGCAGTTGGTGTTGGTAATTGTGTATAATGGTGGCCTGCTTGGTTTCGTTGCGCTTCAGTAAACAATACGCCATTCTATAAAGTGCCGTGCCGTTCGGCTAGCTCGCTGTCGCGTACCATTTTAGTGAGTGAGTTTAATTTTTAGCAGAAAGTGATAAAAAAAAAAAATAGTGCAATTAACATGAAACTTGTAAGTGCAATTTTTTTTCAAATTCTCAAACTTTTTGAAAGCTCAAGAGCGGTAGTTATTAAAATAAAGTGGTCATCCTGTGAACAGAATTTGTGTACTACTTTTGGAGAATATGCATCATAGGAGAATATTTTAAAAATAATAAAGAAGTATAAAGTAAAATACATTGATATAGGAACAGCAACATTTCTGATGAATTTCAACTTTTTGTTAAAGTTTTAAAGCTTTATATCGTGTCCAATATTTGACCGTGAAAGAACGGCTAAGTGAAAAAGAATAACTTTTTCTACCAATACTATTGGAAATATTTTGTAAAAAGTCGGAAACGTCTTTTCATATTTGGAATCAAACTTCAACTTATTTTTTTATATTTATACTAATAAATAAGTAAAGAAATATGCACCATTTTGGTCGACCATATTTTTGCCATTTTTCCACTAGTGACATTATTCCATCAGTGTAAAACCTTTCTGGTTTCTCGGCGAAAAACTGTGACAAGTAATTTTCACAGGCTTCTCTTGAAGTCAACTTTACGCCATTTAGTGACTTCTGCATTGACCGCAACAAATAGTAGTCCGACGGTGCAAGGTCAGGGCTATATGGTAGATACATCAAATCTTCCCAGTCAAGCTCTCCCAGTTTTTGCCGAGTCATCAAAGATGTGTGTGGTCTAACGTTGTCCTGATCGACGACGAAGCTCTTTCTGTTGATCAGTTCTGACTATTTTTTCAATTGCTTGCTTCAATCTAATTAGTTGTTCACAAAATGTAGAATCAATCGTTCGACCAGGTTCGAACAGCTCATTGTGAATGATTCCTTTCCAATCTCACCAAATACTCCGCATAACCTTTCCAGGCGTCAGACCTGGCTTTGCGACTATTTGTTGAACTTCTATCTCTTGATCTTGACTATGATCGTTTTTGCACTTATTGTCGTATTTGATCCACGTTTCGTCTCCTTTTATCAATCGCTTCAGAAATGGTTCGATTTCATTTCGTTCCAGCAAGGAATCACAGATGTTATTTCGCTCCATTCAATTCACGGGGTACTCGAACATCGAACTTCTTTTTGTGGCCATTTTTTTTTTAAATGGTTCAAAATCGTTTGATGGCGAATGTTAGGTTGCTTAGCAATGTCATGACTGCTTATGGAATGGTTCTGGTCAATATTTTTCCTAATTTCATCGACTTTTTCGACGATAGGTCGACCAGAGCGAGGTGCATTTTTCACATTGAAATGTCCAGAACGGAAGCGAACGAATCATTGTTGAACTGATTCAGCAGCGTCTCCGCAAACTTCACAAATTTCATTGGTGGATTCCATGGCATTCTTTCCTTTTTGGCAAAAAAATTTCAAAATATAGCGAATTTCTTCATGATTTTCACAACTTTTTTCAACTACCCTGAGTTTTATTATTTTTAGTTAAATGAATCCTAAAATCTCACCTTTCCATAACTTTATAGCATGACACAATGCGATTGGTAGCACTGCAGATATGCGACTGCAACAACCACTATTGACAAAATACGAAATAACTTTTTCATCTACCTAATGTCAGAGTGTAGGAAAATAAGGAGAAAACGTAAAAATCTTCGGTTGCACCGATGTCAGAATACACTTCACAAAATAAGAAGTTTCCATACAAAAACTTGATTTTCTTCGTTCAGTTTGTATGGTAAATATATGCTCTAGTGGTCCGTTATCGTTTTGGTATTAAAAATGGGCGAAATAATATTTAATACTTTGCTATCTTCTTATATGCTGACAAAAAATAATCGACCGAACTGCTTTTCGAGCGTTTCTTTTTCAAACTAATAGCATTTCAAAGAGAGTACATAGCGAACCTGATCACACTGGTTTCTACGAGTTGCTCAGATCCTCAGTATATGATATATTTATTGAAGAACTTGCTACATTTCGCGTAAATTTTGATTTTGGTAGACCTTTACAGATTTGTTTGTACATTGGCCACCTATTGGTGTAAGTAACCGGTAACTAAGCAATAATGCAGCCAGAAATTTCGTTCAAGCTCCTGACAAAATTATTTTCGAAAGTGTGTTTAATCCTTTGACGAATATATGTATAGCAAATTCGTTAAAAATTTTTACTTGAGATCCAGTGGTTTAATGATTTTTGAAATGTTGGTTAATTTTTAGTGATGTAAATTGGTCAATATACGAGCTTATCCCTTAAAATCGAGTGATAATTTCAATCAAAATCACATTTGTTCCTGAAGATGGTTTATATAGCACCTTAATCTAAGACTAATATGAATAATATTTAATTATATTTGAAAAAATAATCTGCCAGTTTGCTACTAGAGTAAACATATGAGACATATGCCTAAGTGCATTAAACCAAGTTAACTAGTGAAGCTTCCAACGAAAATAGGTGTAATTTCATACTCCTTAAGTTGTTGTGTTTGCAGTGAGTATTAAGTGGGGGCCGCCTAACTTACTCCTTTATTAATTGTTAATCACTAAGCTGAGTGCTTAGTTTTATTTGCTGTAAATGTTAATTGAAACGCACCTTAATATTAAGCACATTTAACAAATATTATATTAATTTTCGCCTTGCTTACAATTAATACAAAAACTTTACTCTAGATCCAAGTTAAATCTAAGCTAAAATGGGTGAGATGTCCGATGACTGCATTAAGCACTCATTACAACACGGTTAACAAAATAAACAAAATATGATCATTAAGCATTTGCCCCAAAAGAGAAACAGTAGCAAAATACAAATTATATACAAATGTTCATAACGCCACAACAACAGCGCCGCGTGAGGCTTAAATCGGTGTGGGCTTAGCGAAAATTCATTAGTCATTTGTACAAAATTATTGATTTCGTCTGATTATAGCATTTCACATTTTTTCTCTCTCTCGTTTCAGGTGAGGCGTTAGTACACCATGGAAACCACACAGCCAGGCATCTGTTTGCACACGAAATTTAAGTGATGATTTATAAATGAATGTGGATGCTTCTAACATTTGTTGAAGTCTAGTGTCGTGTAGTATAGTGTAGTGCTATTGTGTTAACTGAGTAACTAACTGGTGCGATCGATTAACAACTGTTGAGCGCGCGTGTGTGTGTATGTAGAAAAATGCAAGAAGTGTGCAGCAACTTGGACCCCCAAATGGGCGCACAAATCAAATCCGAATCGCCATTGAATGCGCTGCATGTGTCCACGGGCGGCCAGACGATAGTGCCAATAGTGCCGGTGGCACCGACGGTGGTGCCCGTGTCGGTTTCAGCGCCGGCGCAAATGCCGCTAGTGCCACAGCCGCCACCGTTGCCGCCGTCATCAGCGGCCATGCTTGTCAGCAGCAAAATGGGACCGTCAAACTGTGATAAACGTGTGACCGCCGCCGATACAGCGTACTGGATGGCCGCCTCCGAGGGGGGTTTCATCAACTCACAACCGTCCATGGCTGAGTTTCTCAACCATTTGAGTCCGGAGAGTCCGAAGATGGGTACACCTGTCGGTGGTGGTGGTGGTGGTGGCGGATATCCGGTTGGTGTTGGTATTGGTGTGCCACAGACGGCGGACGGCATGGATTCGGTGCCCGAGTACCCGTGGATGAAGGAGAAAAAGACATCGCGAAAAAGTCAAAATAACAACAATCAAGGTAAGTGCTTGGCAACACGCAAAGTAAAGCGTAAAGATTAATTACTTTAATCAAATTGCTATGGCTGAACAGACCGCACTGGTAATGAGGGCGAGATTCAAATATATAAACATACATACATGTATGTATAAGTGTAAATAAGTGTGACTGTGTACTGTTGCTTGGTCTGTGGCCTATGTACATGCTATCCATCAATAAATCAGTACAATATATGTACCTCAACACAACAACAACGAAAAATACGTGGTTTATGTAGTTGCAGCCTAAAAAGGTGCCCGGCGCCCAACTCACTGCGCAGTCGGTCTAGAAATAAGCCACAATCGGCATGCATATGGATCGATGCTGAGGTAACACTGACGAACAGACGGTATCTTTGATGAACCGTCAAAGTATCCAACATTTGAAAAATTCCCAGTCAACTGACCGATCCCATTGCCCAAGCGACTCAAGCGCACTGTACGCCGTTCGCCAACATTTCGGTCGGTTGTGGCTGCACGGCGGCATTCGGCAAAAGATCTGTTATTTGCGATCATTTGTAACAATTTCCATGGCTGCACACGTGAAGGTTGCGGCTGTGGCTGCGGCTGTGAACGGCCAATTCTGCCGCGGCGACCCCGACCTGGCTTCGCTAGCGCATGTAAGAGTTGATCGTGTGTACGAGTAAATGTGTATGTGTGTACGTGTGTGAGCGAGCTCGTATTTTAACTTTCTCTAAATTATATTTGTATCAACATGTTTATTCTTTAGATGGGCTCTTTTTTTGACGGAAACATGTCGGCCAATTACCAACAACGCGGTACAGTTTGTATTTGTGATTGTGTGGTTGTGGGTAAGCATTTATGTATGAATAACATATGCTTTCGAGGATTCCGTCACTAAAAAAACAAAAACCAAAAAACAAAACACTTATAAGTACACACACTCCAACATATATAGAGCTCTACAGCATATGTACAAAAATAATAAATTACGCATGGAAGCCAACCATCCATCCATCCGCTGTTTTTTCACCGCCTTGCGATTCGCCCATTCTGCCAGCAGTAACCGTCGGTCGGTCTTTACTCGCTACTCGGCTGTGCAAGGTATTGCAGTTTATCAACAATTCTCAATTCTTTAACAACTCTTCAATGCGAAGAAAATGTTTGTTACCACTCACTCGGAGTGATGGTTAGCTGACTTTGGCACAGTACCCACGTCTTGCAACCTTCATTATGTAAGGGAAAAAGAAAAATACTGCCACAACCTGAGCAGCAGGAAAAGGCCGTGTTTGCGATTGTAACCTGTTATTTGGATTCATTTGTCAAAATATTTTGCTGTCTCCCTATTTTGCTCTGGGGTTGGCAAACGCAGAGGGAAAACTGGCTGTTGATTTTGATATTGCTGCTTTAGTATGTAATCCAAAGCAGGAGTTAAGTTTAAGGCTGCAACCACGTATGTTTGGTGCGTGGAAATTACAAAAAGATATATATGAAATGAATATCGTGAGCATAGGAAGTTCGCATTTTGCCAGTTCTTCACATATCCTGAGGCATTTAATGCATTTTTTCACTTCCACTGCTCTCATTCATTTTTGTATAGTAGTGTGTGTACTATAAATATATATATAGATCTTTAATAATAGTTATTGTCGTGAAAGATAACTGCTAAAAACAAAAAAACAGAAAAAAAATATTTTTATTACAAAATTTTTATTTTCTGAAACAAAATTTGATTAAGGGGTTACATGGTTATCCTCGGGTAAAAAACAACTTTTTTCAAAAACATTTTGCTCAATGAAAAAATGAAATATTTCATTCGATTTTTTTATTATTACAAACATACACTAATAACATAGAAATTCTGAAATTTTTGGTAAAAATTATTTTAAACTCGGCCATTGCGACGCTATATCCGGTGACAACTCGGAAAAAAATACACCTGCGTTGACAGGATCCTTACGGGATCATACGGTAAAGAGTGTGTGTTTTAGTTGAAAACTTAACTTAGAACTGGGACGAAGGAAAAAAACTGAAAAATGGAGTTTTGGCGGAAATTTTTATTAAAAAAAATTTAAGTTTCAGTGAAAATTTCGCGACGTTTGTTTTTGCAAATAGTTGTAATCGAAAAAAAGTCTTTCATCTAAGTTTTTACGAATTGCATCTCAAAGACCTGTGTAAACGTTAATGAAGATCGGCTAAGTAGTTCTCGAGAAATCTTGCCAACCGATTTCAAAAACACAGTTTCGAGAATAACGCGTTTAAAAACGGCGCACTTGGCCTAACTAGCCTCGAGTGCACAAGTTCTCAAGGCTGTATCTACGAAACAACTGCTCAGATCAACTTGATTTAGGTCACTGTTCTAGAGGTGTTGTTGAATTTCATTTTAGACAATTAAATACATCGATTTTTTGGAACCCGTAGACTCACGTAAGCTCCTAAAACAATATCTTAAAATTCCTCAGCGTTCCGATATGCGGAAAAAAATATTGGAAGTAACAAGTTGAAAAATTTAATTCACTATTTTAGAACTGTTCCGTGGTATCAAAAAATTATCCCAGATAAAAAATTGTAGATGGTAAAAATATAGAAAAAAAAAAAAATAGTGTCAATTCTGATTTCCTGAGACCTACATATTCGGAGATTGACCCCCTTAGTTCACTCCACGAATTGCCCAAAATACCTCCTTTAATTAAAGACTCAATACTTATTCATTGCAATATAAAAATTGCAAAATTGGTTTGAATTGTGATGGATGTGATCAACTCTCGTTAGATATTAGTCAACTTCGTAGACTCAAAAATAGCGCGCTTCGTCAGTTGTCAAGATTTTAAAAGCAATTTTTATGCACCATGATCGCATTATTTTAGAATACTATAATACCTTATAAAGTCTGAACAGTTCTCGTAGATAGACAAATGAACAGCATATTTGGAAGCCTGAATTTATGCATGGGGCAACCACTTGGGCCGCAGTCCTCTCGCCCGGATGACATTGCATTGGTTAAGTTAGAAATTAATTCACAACCAAAAATTTGTATACGACTAGAAATGATCGCTTCACATGTCATCATTGAAAAGAATGTTGCGTTGGTAAAATACCGTTATTTAAAATCCACATAAATTTACCTTTGTGATGCAGTTCCTTTATCCTTTCTACTAACAATTCGATGGAAAACTAGCTTTTGTTGTAAAAGGAAACAATAGTCTAATTCATATGAACACATTCCCTTACGTTTGTGCGTATGTACATACTTATTTATTAACCGCACTTGTCGACGCACAATGAATTAATTTGACAATATTAACAAATTAAACTGTTGAACGCACACTCACACATACATATACTGTGGCGTAAGTGTTACAACTTCATGCACTTTGTTAACATCATTTGTAATTTATCCCGCTCAGCAGGCAGTCTGTCCGTCCGCATACACACATTTAGCCACTTTTGGTTGTTGCCCTGGTATTCGTAGGTGAGATTCAGCGTGCGCGTCGCCACCGCAGCAGCCAAAATCCGAGGCCGAGTCTACAAGTGTTCGTGAGTGTTGCGTTAAATAAGATATATTGACCCTCCAGTGTGCAGGGCGAACACAATATGAGCATTATTGTATATGTGTGTGTGCTAATGTTTTTCTCGTAGTGTAAGCGCATGTCTGTGTGGGTGGAGCATGACAAGTTGCACTCAACGGTATTTATTTTACCACTCCGAATCTGCTCATGAGCATTAAAATTCGCGCAGTATTTGCTTGTTTGAAGGAAATTCGTATGTAAATACTCTTGAAAAGATTAACAATATTCTGGAATTGGTTTTATTCTGATGTTTTCTGAAGATGATTTTTATTCAGGACTTGAGGGACTTTAGTGTGGTTTTAATACCTCAAAAAATCTAACGATGAATTTAAATCATTATTAGCGGATTATTTTTTCGGAGAATGAGCGAACATTGTAGCTGCTCAGCTGGTCACGAATACCCGAAAATTCAATACAATGATCACATGTATATAATACTTTCGGCTAGAATTGTCAATTAGTCCTTAAGTAATGCATTGAAACTTTATCAGAGAGTTTTGTTAGTAGTATCAGGTAGTTACCGGAAATTCAACCAATAGGTGGCTTGTAGAACTTCGCATAGACCCATTGACTTAAAAGTAAGTAATTTATAGATACAGAGAGAGATGCTTCAATTGACTGATTCCATTTAAATAGAGTGCGTTGGATGTGGAGATATGAATAACTACATATCTATTTTCGTAAACTGATTAATTACTAGTCAGATAGTATGTATTAATAGCATCATAATCAATTTTAAGGTCCTCACCATCGCCAATGATAATCTTCAGCGACACTAGTAGCTGTTAGATGCCGTCAAATATTTAGTAAAAGAGCTCGACATATGCTTTATTCTAGCCACTATCTACAGCGTAATGATAGAACTGTCGATATCCTTATTGTCAGAGATATATTATAAAATTATTAGAAAAAATCTGTTGAGCACCGTAAGGAGAGAATTTAAATTTCTATTTGGTCTGCCTATTAAAGCCTTAGAAACCCAATCAAATGTAGTATGACAATATAAAATATTTTACTTGAAAAATCATATGCTTTTATGATGGAATACTTTTGACTCTATCAACCGACAAAACCATTTATCACTTACGCTGGTAAAGAAATGCGATGAGGGATTAGCTGAGACACATCTTCTTTCGTTTCATTTTTCAAAGTATTGTCTTAAGTCTTTATATTAATTAAATTTGAACCGGACTGAAAATTATGAGCAATGAATACTAAGACTTTGTTCATAATTTTAAAATTCTTAATTTATTTGGCCGGTCGGAAGGAATTCGGAGTGGACCACACCTCGATAATCAATGAAAAATTTCAACATAACCTTGATTTTTGACTTTTTTTCGGCTTTCCTCTGTTTCCGGTCGGAAAGTATTATTAACGCGACCCAAATGATCTTTTAAAATGGTTTTCACTGATCCTTCCGACATACCAATCATGCCAGTAAAATCTTTGAGTG